TGGTAGCAGATGAATAACTGTGACTTCATCGCCATGGTTTTTGTGGTGTGTCCTGTCTCTTTTGCTTTTGTTATGAAATGTAAATACATGTCGGTGTTCTACAATCCCTGCTGGCTCAAAATATTTCGTTTCTCTGTATGTCCTGCACATGTGGTAGAAATGACAATAAATGACTTTGACTTTGACTTTGATATTCCAGACACAGACAAAATTACTATTCAGGAAAATGCAAAAAAAAAAAGCCTACTTTTTGGCAACAAATAGTGAATCCCCCATAAAAGGTTTTTCTTGTGGCTCGTATAAAAGTGTGAGTTTACAAATGTGAGGAAGACCATGGATGTGTGTTTATGTAGTTTCCCCTTTGTGGGTACTGAGTAATGTCAAACACTTGGAGGGGGACAGGAACTTCAAAACAATTGCAGTAAATTTAATTACTTTAAAATAAAAACAATTAGCTGTAAAATACTTTAAGCGTTACTTGTTTACAGTATGTATGGTTTAGGTTTATAACTATCAGGTTTAATGATGGAATAGGGAAACCCATACAATAGCAATAGTGGGTATGCATTTTTGTAACCTTCTCAGTGGTCTAGTGGTTGAGTGTTGTAATGTGATGTAAGTGATTACTTTTAATAAATAGTCAATAAGGTGTGATATTTCATATAAATGTGAAGTACCGGTATCAATATTGTTGATATTTTGCTATTTGATCTAAGATGAAACCAGGTCTTTTTAGTAGTTCAGGGAAACCACACCTTCATAATAATTTGAGACAGAGGCAAAAATATAGTTTATAAAAATCTATTTATTACCATATTTCTTCTAGTAACAGAAAAAATGACGATGAATGATGGTTGAAACAAGATAACTGAGACAATGAATGAAATGATGGAATGTACGCTTATATGATTTATGGCAAAACCTAATTAAGTGTCTTAGAATAATGTGATGTCTGGAATATAAAATCAGTCTGACTGTATGGTGTAACAGACTATCAATTAATAAAACCATCCTCACTGGTTGTGCAGAATCCACGAACCCTTGTAATGAAGGCTCCTGGTGAGCCAGGGGTCCGGAGAAGTCGATACGGACAGACTGCCGATGGAGTTGACTTCTGTGGTAGTTGGAGCGTGTAGTTCCACCCTGTATACAGAAAAGCTGGTCTAGGATACCCTCAGGGTGAAGGCTGGCAGTCAGATGAAGTTTGCATTTGATGCAGCTCTGCAGGATTGTAAAGGAGGTTTGACCTTGAGGTCAAAAGGGAGTATGGTTCTTTACTTGCTGAGCAGTCGGACCTAACTGTTCAGCTCGCTGAAACTCAAAGAATCCAGCAAGTGGATTCCCTTTTAAAACTATTGTTTATCAATTCGGACAAATCAGATTTTGACAAATTAAAGTGGGCAATGTCAAAGACCTTGGACACTACTCCTTTTCTCCAACACTTAGAGAGGTTATCTTCCTTAAAGGCACAGTCCGCAGGATGACGCCATCAGGGTGAGGAGGAGAAGATTTTTAAATTCGAACGGCTGTTGCTCACTCCCCCGCCCTTCCTGAAAGAGCCGAAAGCCACACCTCCCAACGTGCACGCCCAGGAAAAGCAGAGTCAACATCGGAGCATTGCTTCTTGTAATAGAGCTGAGCTAGTGTTAGCAATGGAGTTATCTGAGGTAAGAAAGTTGTATTTAACCAGCACATTAAACACTTACTGTTTACAAAAGGCATTTTATAAAGAATATCTACAAATATATTTATATTTTAAAATACCAGTAACAGTTGGCAATCTATATTGTAAATAAAATTAATCCTATCAAATTGTTAGCATTTTATTACAAGTAACTAGCTTATTTTTAATTGCTTTGCCATTCAAGATGGGATGAATATATCAAAGCATCTAAATAATTTATGTGGAAATCATGAATAAACACTGCATTCTGTGTAGTCCTCCTATAATCATGGTTGTTTTCATAGGGTTTCTGTTTATTGTTGGTTTAGCCCAAATTTTGACTAGATGTAAACCTGATCTGTGTCAAAATTGATTAATATGCAAGAGTACTTTTTGTATTAGTATAATTTTTTTTATTCTAATACAATTTAGAGTTCAGTGATTGAGGAATCCTCTGAGGAAGAGTTTGAACCTCCTATTGCATCCTCAAGACGTGGTGCAAAAAGGAGATGCCCACCATCATCTCAAAGCCGTGGTGCATCCAGAGGCTGTGGTGTGTCTAGAGGCCGCGGTGCATCCAGAGGCCGAAGAAGTGTGAGACACTCAGCTGTGGACCTTGGAGATGAAGATCTCTCTCGAGTTCGGAATCTTTGTTCCGAGCGAATAGACTTTGAACGTGTAAGCATAGCTGTTGCTGTTGCATCTCTTTCCACTTTTGTAGCAACACATACAGAACCTGAACCCTCAGCAGGCTATTGACATCCTTACCATGGTGCTGGACAGACACTGGTGTTCTCTTTGATGTACTTGCCCTCTCTGGTCCACCTGCCACAACACCTCCAACACCCAATCAACCTTCATGGTGTGTATGCTCCCACTGCAAAGATATGCCAACTGATTTGGAAAAGAAATGCTGCCAACAGCCTCCCCAGACATGTATTTCAACTGTACCACACATGGAGGAGTTTATTCTGCAAAATTCCCTGACCCCAATGGTAACTACACTGGTTTTATTCCAAGACTATTGTAAATAAATGTATATATTTGATATTTTACATAAGTTTGTTTTTATATATTTTTGTTTGATGCTCTAATAAAGTGTTCTAAAGCACAACTCTGTGTTGCATTTGTAAAAAATACCATAAATTTTAAAACTCCTGCACAACAACAAAAAGTTATGTCTACCCAGTGGCTGTTCTACATCGAATTACTCCCCGGGCGAGGCCCCCTTTGAGCGCCCCCCCCCCCCAACCGCCCCCACCACCACCACGCCACCCCACCTGCACGAACACACGCATGTTTTCTACAAACAGGCATGTTTTATTAGAACGACTATTGAACATTCATTTTTCTAAGTTGCACATATTTACATTAATTACTATGAAGTTGTCAGAATGTAAAGCACTATACATTATATACTGTATCAAAATATATAGAATCAAATATACAAAAACAAACAATAACTAAATATTAAGAATATATGAACATAATTTATAATAAATATTCTAAATAGCAAAAATATTTCACACATGACAAACTAAAGATAATCACTACAGCATTGCACTTAGAATAGAAAACACAAACTAAAATTAAAACCTAACCTTGATGCAAAGTCATCAATAATGTCATATGAAATCTGCTCCCCTACTGAGTGACTGATACTAATCAGAGCCAGGTTAGTGAGCCGCCCCTGAAACATAGTTGACCTCAGGTATGACTTGATCAAGTTTTGAAAAGCTCTTCTCAGCTTGAGCCACAGTGACTGGCAGAGCAGTTCAAAAGTTAGGGTAGATCTCCAATAGATCTTTATCATGATCCATAATATTTTAGAATTGCCTCTGAAATTGTAATTTAAACTGACATAAAAAACTGTAGACTACCAAAAATGCCAACTTTTACAGAAATCATGTAAAAATAATCAGTGCAGCCATCTGCAATAAATAAACAGCATAGTTAGTGGTGACTGGGGTGTTTTCTTCTGCTTGTACAGTTGTTTTATTTATTATTATGTGAACATGATCAACATGTGTTTGTTGTTGTTCAGGCAGGCCACAGGCTGCAGTGAGCATTTAACAAATCCTAGTTTGAATCAGTAAAAAACGATTCAAGGACTTTTTTCGAACCATTTTAATATTCGTTTCAATATTTCAGCCCTATTAGCTCTGTTAGCAATTAGTTGACCGCATTTAACCGTTAAAATCCCAGTTAACTGGTTCAAAAAATTGAAAACATGCATTATGAGAGTGTACATACCTTTATCTTTCTCCTCTTTTTCTTTTTTTTCCTTTTCCCCCTGAATGGGGCACCTGGTGGTTTTAGCCTTTTTATGTTCATCTCTTCTGTTTGGCTCCTGACTCAGTAAGTTTCCTTTAGTCAGGACTAAACAATTTGACCTTGATGGGGGGGTGACCACAAAATCGTTTTGTTTTTCCTTTTTTTATTCGGCCATTTCACACAATTCAGAGAAACCTGAAAGAATGATAGGCCTGTGTTTATGATATTATGAATGAAATATGGAAGAACGTTAAGATGTGATCGACTTTAGCCATGTTAATACAGTTGATTCAGCCCCTGCACGCTCATTTCATTTGGGAAAGACGCAGAGGTGAATTCCCCCGCCGCACCCCTCCCCTTCCTGTTCTTCATAGACACACGGTGCACGTGAACGTTCTCAGTCAGCAGGAGCGCCTGCAGCTGCAGGGGGCGCCAACTTGCTGTTTCCAATCCAGACACTGTCATATGACAGATAATAGAAAACCTCGGTGCGGCGCAGATTTCCTTTTTTTTTTTTTTTTACTCCGCGCTTGTGCGCCCCTTTTGTGTCATGAAAAAATGCCGCCCCAGGCAACTGCCCTGTCTGCCCGTGCCTAAAACCGCTACTGTGTCTACCTCCAACATTTTACATAAATTTTTAAATTATTAGTCCTTATTTCCCCAAAATATATCTTTATTTTCAAAAAAAAAAAAAAAAAAAACACAGGAAACAAAAATAAAGAAGGTTTTGGGTTTTCTCTTGCCTCCTCAACACCTATGTCTGTGGCAAAGTTTTACCTGCAAATAAAAAATAAACTCAATTAGCAATGGACTATTGTGTGGAAGATGTAAGGCAGATAATGTTTTATTTTACCATCACCGCAAGTCCGTAGGTGTTGTAGAAGTTCCTCTGTTGATGCTGCAGGAACTCCGGACAGCAAACCATAATGCCTTGGATCCTCACAGGCCTTAGCTTGTAGCGCTGAGGAAGACCTTTCTTGCTTGTCAAACGTCTTTCAGTTGCTTCTGGGATATTACAGTCATGAACTGTATCCTCTATGTTAATTTCTTGCAGAGTCTCACGTTGTAATGTTGTTTGTAATGCTGCTCCAGTCCTGTGAACAAAAGCTTTTTATTAACTATGCGCTATTGCAGTTTTATAGAATGTTAAACGAAAGGAATTACCTTATGTGTATATAAGGTGTGTAGTCCTCATCACCGCTGTCATCAGTACCGCTGTCCATCTCGATGGTTTCGTCCTCCTCTGAAGACAAATCAACTTCTGGTTCTCTGTTTGGTGACCATGTGTCATCTGATGACTCTATCCTGAATATACACAATATAAAGTTTCTAGTATGGAAAATTTGACACATTTTATTAACATCTGAATACTTACATAGAGATTTGAATATTGTTGAACTCTTCCTCGTCAATGTTTGCTTCAATTCCCATACAAGATAACCTAAAAAAGTAATTATTGTTTACTTTTCCTGACAAATGTGACAGCCGTATACAGATACAACCTTGTACTTACATTTGTGAAGATCCTTCTTTGTTAGTTTCACCTTGTTCCATCACCTCCTCCAAATTATCATCCCTATGAAAATAAAATACAAGCACAAGAATATGATTAGAATCAATACATATTTTGTCATTTTGAAGGTAATAGACCTCGTCTATTGGCCATCATCATCACCCTCTCCTTATTTTTCTCACTCTACTTATTACGCAATTCTCTGTATCCACTGAATACCTTCTTTACAAATAATTTCCTGTCTCTCTCTTTACATTTTAAAAACACAATTGTGTCATTTTTTTCTCATAAACTTTGAAATAAAAATATAATTTTTTAAAATATGTTTAATTTTGTTGTTGTGAAGTGCCTCAAGAGTTTTATCTTGAGAGGCGCTATATAAAATGTAGTTTTACTATTTATTTCTATACATTTTTTATAGTCATTCATTATCCCATTTCTAGAATTTTTTCAAAATAATCCACCACTAACTTAAAACAAACAGAGGCAAAATTATAATATTCCTGGTAGAGGTTTTTACGCAGCTATTTACCTTTCAGATGACTCTCCATGAATGCTAGACAGAGCTGGCACTGGTGTTGGAGAAATACACAGTTGGCGCTTCAATGGTGTAGATGTTGATGCTTCATATTTGGACTGATGACTGTAAAAAACAAAGCCCAAAAATTAGTGATCACAAGCTAAACAAGTCTCCCCAGCCTTCACAGATTTTTGCACAAGCTGATTATCATTCCTTTTATTTTAATATGGAGTTTTCACGTAGGTAAGACCACAAACTCAGACGGTAATCTGTACACGTGGCCCACCCAGGTTAGCACAATATGTCTTTCAGTGCTAATGGAAACGTAAGGTTTCGGATAGGTTCCTGATCAATCACACCTAATTCTAACTGCTGAATCATCTCCTCAGACTTCTACAAGTGCTACATGAGCTGCTGATTACTCATTTTAATGAAACACGCAGCTCAGGAAAGTGTAAACACCTAATTCAGCTTTCAAGATGCTAACTGAACCCCGCTAACGGGGAAGTTATAAACAAGAGCTTAAAACAATATACTGATGTGGCCTATAGTTAAACGCCACACTAATCATTAGCTCCCATATAAACAAAAAACTAAAATCCCCTTTCGTTACTCAAACTTCTTCCAAATATAGCATAAATAGTTTGACTAACATCGATTCATGTCGACTTAGCATTCAAGCTAATGCTACATTAGCCAATAGGACACCAAGCATACAAAGCTTGTTTGCTCTATTACTCCTTTCAGTGAAATAAAGATTATAAGTAAATTTATCCGAAAAACAATAAATAACTTACCTGTCTAAAAGATACTTTGCCAACTCTTCATCCGTTTTCAGGCCGTGTAGATCACGAAAATCTCTCCATCGTGTGTAAAACAATCTCCAATGTAAATTCTACTCTACTGTCTTAAACGTCTTACAGCCACTTTTGAAGAAGGGCTTTTAAACTTTTTTAATGATTTTTGAGATGTGGAAGGCAGTTGAGGAATCGGTAATTTGGGGTTTTGTTGCTCCATGTTTCTGCAGTAAGCCGAGTGAGGCGCGTGACACTGTTGTGCACGCTGAAACCTGCTGCTCGTGCTCGATGATTGACAGCTGCCCCCTGGTGGAAACGCAGCGCTATTGGTCAACGCGTTAGGCTTGCAGAAATATTGGCTGAGCTCTACAGGGCAGGGGAGGGACTTAGGAGAAAAATGAAATATTAAAGATTATTTACTTTTTTTAATAAAATTGGGTCAGATGGTCAAAATCAAACATTTTTAAAGTTATTCTACATTTAAATGTTGCAGACTGTGCCTTTAATCTGAAGTAAAAATGCCAATCATTAATGTGAAGTAAATACCGCATTGACCCGAATATAGGACGACCCCGATTATAAGACGACCACCCTTTCCAAGACTAATCTTCAGGAAAAGACAAAAAAAAAATAAAATAAATAAAAATAAAATAATAATAATAATAAAAATAAAAATGAATCACTTTTTAAATAAACTATTTTTATTGAAAATTTGAGAACAAATACTGAGCAAAAGTATTATTTTAATGCAAACTAAAAGTCGTTAAACCACCAAATAGTTCTCGAGCGCGGCCATTGCTGAAGCTCACTGCTCCCCATGAGGATGGGTCAAAAATGGAGATGTCATTTCACCAGTGTGCGATGGTGACTATGGGACTTTAACAGTATAATAATAAATTAAAAAAAAAACAACTAAGATGCTACCTGACAATCAATTAATGGCTGTTTAGTTATTAACTTTGAATCTTTACTAAATCTGAAGTTTAATTAACACACTTTGGATACTGGTATTCTACAGAAAACAACAAATAGGTGGGAGCTAATTAAGATCTAAATGACCTGATGGATGACAGTGAAACCCACATGACAGGGTGAATTCAGACAGGCTGTTTTCTGTGGTTAAGCATGTAAATGTCAACCATCACAGTTATAAATTAATGATAACTCCTGCAGGATTGTTTTGAGACCGCAGATTGGATGACTCTCTGTCAAGGATATGAAGAGGACATCAATACCATGACTGGATGGGTCACTGACTATATAAACTTCTGTGTGGACTACATCATACCCACCAGAACAGTGAAATGCTTCACTAATAACAAACCCTGGATCACCAGTGAACTGAAGAATCTGCTAAATGAGAAAAAAGAGCCTTCAAGGAGGGAGACAGGGATTTATTGAGGAGTATACAGAAGCAACTGAAGATCAAGATCAGAGACAGCAAGGAGGCCTGCAGGAAGAAGCTGGAGAACAAACTACAGAGGACCAATATCAGAGATGTCTGGTCAGGGATGAAGATCACAGGCTTCAAGCAGAGGAAGGATTGCACAGATGGCAGCCTGGACACAGCCAATGAGCTGAACAAGTTCTTTAATAGGTTCAGTTCAGGAACAAACCCAGCATCCTCCTCGCCTGTCCTCAGCCAATCAGACATCCCATCCTCCTCTGTTCCAACATTTTCCTGTCACACGCAAGCTCTTTTGTCCTCTAACGCAGTCATGGACTCTTCTGGTTCTATAAATCTGTCTTCAACCAAGTCAGGAGATGCTGCTGCCCCATTCACCTGCCCCTCCCACCTATCTGTCTCTAGAAGTCAGGTGAAGAGGCAGCTGGAGAGGCTGAACAGGAATAAGGCTGCAGGTCCAGATGGTGTCAGCCCCAGAGTACTGAAGGCCTGTGCAGAGCAGCTCTGTGGGATTCTGCAGCACCTCTTCAACCTCAGCCTGGCACAGGAGAAGGTTACAGTCCTGTGGAAGACATCCTGCCTTCTTCCAGTTCCAAAGAAAACTCACCCATCAGTCAATGATGACTACAGACCAGCTGCCCTGACATCCCACACCATGAAGGTCCTGGAGGGACACCTGTTGGTTCACCTGAATAAGTAAACTAGAACATATCAGGACCCGCTGCAGTTTGCTTATCGCCATGGAATTGGAGTTGAAGATGCCATCATCCAGCTGCTTCAACCAATCCACTGTCACCTGGACAAAGCAGGCAGCACAGTGAGGGTCATGTTCTTTGATTTCTCCAGTGCATTTAACACAATCCAGCCTGATGTACTTTGCAAGTAACTCCAGAAGACACACTATCGCCTGGATTAAAGACTACCTGACAAACAGACCACAGCTTGTGAGGCTGAAGAACTGCACATCAAACCAGGCGATCAGTAACATTGGAGCACCACAGGGGACTGCACTCTCACCATTCCTTTTCACCCTATACACCTCAGACTTCCAGTACAAATCAGAGACCTGTCATCTACAGAAATACTCAGATGACTCTTCAGTTGTCGGGTGTATCAGAGATGGACAGGAAGCTGAGTACAGAGAGCTGGTGGAGCGCTTTGTGGCATGGTGTGGAAACAATCATCTGACCTTGAATGTGAACAAAACAAAGGAGATGATTTTAGACTTCAGAAGAAACAGAGTGGAGTCAAACACCGTTTCTATCATGGGAGAAGAAGTGGAGGTGGTTGAGGAATACAAATACCTTGGAGTTCACCTGGACAACAGACTGGACTGGAGAAAGAACAGCGAAGCCGTTTACAAGAAGGGACACAGCAGACTGCACTTCTTGAGGACACTTAGGTCCTTCAATGTCTCTAGCAAGATGCTGCAGATCATCTACAAGTCTGTTGTTGAGCGTGTAATCTCTTCAGCCATCGTCTGTTGGGGAAGCAGCATCAGAAGCAGGGACTTGAAAAGGCTCAACAGTAGAGCTGAAACAACTAATAGATTTAATCGATTATAATTGATTATTAAAATAGTTAACAACTTTTTTAGTCATCGATTAGTTGTTTAATAATCACATTTTACCGCATAGTCTATTTTTACCACAATCTGACATCGGTTACAATCTGTTCAATTTGCCGCCAGTGTGTGGCAGTAATGAGCCACTGATCTACCAGTGGAGCCGTAGAAGAAGAAACGAGCCAATAAGTGCCCTCGGTTTTCATGACGTAACACGTTACTGACGCGCATCTTGCTGTGAGAGATGGCGCAACAAGAAGAAATACGAAAGAAAAATAGAAGCGACAATACTGAAGAGAAACCCCGGACGACAACCTCACGAGTATGGGAGCACTTCACTCTAGATGAAAAGATGGGTGACCTGCAAAATATGCAAAAACCATCTAGCATGGCACGGAAGCACGACATCCCTAAGTGAACATTTGAGACAAAAACGTGGGGGCAAATGTAGCAGAGGAAACGCCAGCCCGGTAAGTAACAGAAAATAAACAAGCTAAATATAGTGGTCCATCACTACACGCAGGTCAAATTTGGGACTTAGTGTTTTAGCTGAGTTCGTTATAGTGGATGTTAAACATGTTTTTTTGCCGCGTCAGTCTAAGGTGTTCTACTTCTGATTGACTAAATGCAATCATGAATCTCCTCCGTGTTGTGAATCATACGCTTGCCAAATTTAGCACGTCTGTTTATAAGAATGTTCTTGTTAAGAGAAAAACGGCACAAACCCATAACTATGTTCCTCATTCAAAAAAGGACAACTCCGCTGTGAAAAATATACAGACGAGCTGTGTCCAGGTGAATATAACGCGGCATAGTTGTATGCTTTCAATTTTTAAATACAGGAGAAATTCAGAAAGTCATTTTTTTTACTGTTAAAAGGCTGTTTTACTATCTAACACTGTAAAACGCCTCACAACACATTTTTGTCAAAATAAATGATCACTGTATATTGTTAATTAATTCAAATAATATAATATTGATTTAGTGTTGTAGTGTGTGTGCTGCTTTATTTTATATGTGTACTTATTTCAGTCTATTTGTGTTTCTCATGCAGAAAAAAAAACAATCAACGATGGACAACTACATGGGGAACAAGACACTCACCCCCCAGCAATGCATACCATTTACAAACTCTATTCTAGATTCTACATTATTTTTTATGGAATTTACCTCTTATATTTTGATGCCAAAAAATTATTCTGGACTGATATTTTGCACTGTTTAGCTAATTTTACACTGCTGACTGTGTTCGTGTGCAATAAAATAGATTGCAGTCAACTGCACAATTCTGTTTTTCTTTTTCTTAACTGAAATGTATTCATCACTTGTATAGGTTAAATAGCTAAACAATAACAAACCGATTAATCGATTAATCGAAAAAAAATAATCGACAGATAAATCGATTATGAAAATAATCGTTAGTTGCAGCCCTACTCAACAGCCTAATAAAAAAGGCTGGTTCTGTTCTGGGGACGACTGTGGAACCACTGGGGGACATAATTCAAAGAAGGATTCTCCAGAGAATCAAGAAAATTATGGACAACCCTGAGCATTCTCTACACAAGACTGTCTGACAATGGAAGAGTGTCTTCAGTCAGAGGCTTCTTCAGTTTTGCTGCAACACTGACCACTACTGGAGATCCTTCCTGCCGACAGCCATTGTAATATACAATAACTCTTTGATGACTTGATTACTATTATTATTCTGAGCTACTACAGCAATCAATTTCCCTCTGGGATTAATAAAGTATTTTTGAATTTAATTTAATTTAATTGAACTGAATTAAAAAAAACAGATGATAACAATGAATACCTGTTCATGCAGATTACTGCAGAATTCCAGGATAAACAATGAAACAAATTATAGTAAAACTATTTTTGACAGAAACTCAAAACAGCAGGCTGCAGAACCTGCTGTTTTGAAGGTGGTATTTTAATTTTCTAACATAAGAAAATCTGATTGTTTTAAATAAAACCAACCATGTTTTAATTCCCACTCCTTCCCAACCAGCATAAATCTAATATGTATAAAAATCATGATTTTTTTTCCTTTTATATAAATGTTCATTGAGGAAACAGGTGTGGAGGTTTTTTGCTTTCAACATAAATACAGTGATATACTAATTTACTGGCTGTTGGCAAATAAAGCAACAAGATATGCCTATAAGGATGTTGCCTACATGTAAGGTTGAATACTA